TATGTACCATATACCTACAGCGACAATTGCCTCCCCTTACATTTGCAAATCTATTTAAAAAAATAAATACAGAGTAGTTAAAAGAGGAATACTCTAGCCACATCAAAGCACAAAGAGCAGCATGGGCAACGTGAGTGTTTATCCTAACAGAGAAAATGGATGAGACCAATCCAAAGAATGAGATGAACACCAGGGGGAAAAATACCAGAGAATGAAAGCATTAAAATAAAAAGAGAAACAGATGGTGAGTAAGAGAGTCTACAAAGACAGGTTTCATTGTTCTTTCTCCTAACTTAATTAAGCCCATGTATGCCCCTCAGATAAATGCTACTGCTCCCTCTGCCCATCCCAACACTTATTCCTTAAAGCAAGCTCCGCTGCGAGATGAAAGAGGCTCATCAGAGTGTCAGGCCTGTAAAGGGGTGACTCATCAGCTATAGTGCAGCACAACAACAACAACATCAGCCCCAGAAAAACAGCCACCGCCAACCCATAACACTGACATAATCAGCACGGCTGTCAACAAGTAGCAACTGTAGCAACGCTGCACCTCATTAGACACACAACTTCAGGAAGAATCTATAATGTATATAGTGCAACCATTTCTTTAAAGAAACACTGGGTACAGCTTCACTATCCAGTGTATACAATCATTACCCTTTGCTGGTTATTATCACTTATTTTACTATTCCTCTGTGTATCCAGACAAATAAATCATCTAGACTGATACATCAGACATTAGCTTGTCGCAGTGTTTGTGGCTTCTGATGAGTAACAACAAACAGAAGTAAAGATATGCCATAGGGAAGTTCTGAGTCATTAAAATAATGTCTCTATTACATGGTTTGTTCACCAGAGAGTAAAGATCTCAATATTGTTTGTTTAATGTACACTTGTTTAATAAACCATACAGGAAAACTAAAAAAACAAAAGAAAATAAATATTTTGACATTATTAATAAGCTAAAATAATCATTTGCATTAACTAGCTCATTGTTATCACTGTCCAGAGGGGGTATTTTTTGGACGTTATATGCGTAATTATTGGTAGTAAACTAGTAGTAGGAAATTATGGCTGTTGATTAAAATTTTCCACATATTCTAACAAACTTATAAATGTTTTCAAAGAGCAATAAAATACTATCTTACTGTCCCCAGGCATATGACAAACAGAACTGTTGATTAATGCCAGAGACTCAAGATTCTGACAAGCTGCTGAAATTTCAAACTTACACATTTCACTTTCTGAGTCTCAGTTCTTCAAAGGTCTTTTGAAGATGTTAAAAGAAAAAAAAACTCTTTCTTGCACTTGGTTTCTTTACCATATTAATCCATCATCAGTACTTCATTACTGTCTGCTTTCCCCCCCAAACTACAGGAAGTAAAATTAGCCAATCCCAAGATGAAAATACATAATCAGAAGTCTTTCAAACTATACAATAGAAAAGCTAACAATGA